GACCTGCTATGAAGGCTGTAATAGCAAATTTTTCATCTGGGACATTCACCTACAAGGATTCTGAGTTGAACCGTTCGACATAAGACCGTAGGTTCTCATCAGGTCTCTGTTTCACATTTAACAAATGGTAGCTCGGTTTCCTATAGGTCCGAGTTCCGATGAAGTGGGACACAAACGAGATTAATAGTTATTTAAAAGAGGAAATCGAGGCTGGGGGGAGTCTGTTGAACCATGCTAAGGCTGAGCCCTTTTAGGGTGATAGCAAAGGCCCTGCATCTCACTGGATCTTGATATCCATGCAACTTTATTTGATTTTTGTAGGTGTTGAGGTAGTCCACGAGATCTTTTGTCCCATCGAAAGCATCTACCTGCGGCATTCTGAATTTAGGTGGGAGAGAGAAGTACAGTACCCCAGCAGTGAATAGGGATTCAGTTTGCTGCCCCAAGACATCCATAGTGACTGAGGCCTTGCTCTTCACTACCTCTTTCATCTGGCTGAGCTTGCTGGATGTCTTTGAAACGTTGCTCCCAATTGTGTTCTTTTCTCTCCTCTTGATAAGGGAATAAGTCGTTTTTCTCCCCTTTCTTATATTGACTTTGCACTTTCTCGTTGTGACCATTCCTAGGGGGTAGGCGAGGTTTTTGCCCCAAGGTCTGGCTATTCTCTCTCACCTCATTAACTTCTCTGAGGGGGTCGAGATGCGATTGCTCTCTTGGTGGTGGGTTATTTTGGCCTCCTTGGGCCGGTCGCTCTTCTTGTGGGCATTGTAGGAGCTTTAAGAGCTCTTTATTCTATTTTATCAGACGTTTATTGACAAGACGAAGGCCCTCCATCTCATTATTCATGGGAAGGCCCCTTATAACTCACTGCCATCAATTATTTTTCTTTTTTTTCATTATTTTTTTTTCTTGCTCTGTAATTTCTTATGCACATTTTTTGAATTTAATTATGGGCTTGAAAGGGATGTTTTGGATCCAATTTAAGCTTATGCACCTGCTAGACAAATTAACTGAGCTTGGGCTAAATGAATTTTAGACACCAAAAAAACCAACCTTTTTCACAATTTGGACTATAAAGACAAAGAACCAATTGAGAATTAATTTAGAATTTCTCCCCATCATCTTCTTCAAGTTCATCTCATCAAAGCTTGCTCGGTGGTTATTGGGTATTCGAGTTCGAAGTTGAACTGTGTCAATCAAATGTTGTGGTTGATGGGAGATGATTAGGGTTTCTTGGAACATAACTCTCGTACCATTTGTTAGCTTTGCACAATAGATAATTAACACAAATAATACTTGTTTGGAAGATAGAAAAACAATAAAAATAAAATGCAAAAATATAACATGGTTTAATATAACATACCCCCCGGTACACTATACTTGCATTTACAGATCAAAAACATACATCGATGTATTATTTACTGAAATCTGATCATCTGATACCTAATTATATAATACTCAACTTTATTTATAGGGATAAAATATTGTAATTTAAACATATTCAAATACAACTTAATCATTTTGTTTCTATCACATGTCTAATATACTTATTAATGGTATATTAAAATTCTTCTAATTTATTTCCTATTTAATTTAAATTCTCATATTAATTACCCAACGAACTCTTCATTAGAACAATTAGAGAGTTTATATCAAATTCCAACAGGGTTAGGGTTTTGTTATGAGTGCCATGAGGTTTCAAGGAGAGAAATTATGAAGAGAGGAAGACATAGAACAAGTCTTTGGTAAAGAGAATACACAGAAAATTTGGTAGAATATTACAGTTAGTGTTTGGATAAATAATTTGAGTTTCATTTAATTAGGGTTAAGAATGTGTTCTCCCTCAATTTGTTATAAATTTGGATAAATGGTTGAAGATGATTTTTGAGCTTATTTTTGCTGAAGATGATTTTTGAGTTATTTCTATTCAAATCTAAATTTAAGTCTAAATTTAAATAAGGATTAGAGATGACCTTGTAGAAAGACAAAATAATAAGAAGAAAAAGTGATATAAAATTATATGAAAAAAATTATAAAAATTCTCATATAGAATTCATTAGAATGAAATTTTTACATGAAAGTTGTAGGAAATTTTTATTTTTTGAATTGGAAGTCATGAAAGTTACAAGAAAAATTATTTTATTCGTCTATACGGCCTTTACACACCAAGCCATCCAATATAATCACCAATTAACTATTTTAATAAAAGGGGTAAAATAAAAATGCAAATTATTCGTCACACTTTCTTTATTTTTTCTTGTAAGAAAAAGATAGTTATTTATGAAAAAATTATTATTGTGAGAAAGCTATTTTATTTATTATTTTTCATTTCTTTCTAACTAAACACATCTAATATTTTTTTCTAACCAACCGAACTCTTTATAATAACAGGCTTGGGTTTTACCAAGTTACGAGTGGATTCTGATTCGATCAATTGCCAATTTGTTCATTTTCCCGTCCAAAACGAAAGAGACTTGTAGTAAAACATACAAGGATTTAGATGACTAAACTAGACTACAAATGACCAAATTAGAACACACAGGTTACAAACCACACAAAGTCATAACAAATTAAAGCTTTGTAATTCAACCTTATGTTTGATTGTTAAAAATATTTTGTGTTATATCTAGTCTTATTTCGTATATATATATAAAATACATATGCAAATAATACGTTTGGCTCGTACTATTAAACAAATTTTAATATGTAACACCCTGGTTTTTTTGGACGTATTATTTGATTAAATTAATCGATCGATCACAATAAACCACAAATATCTCTAAATATAGATACAACATGTTAATTGCATCAATAAAAATTATAATCACAATTTTGAACTCCAAATACCAATAAAAGTTAAAAATTATATCAAAATTTGTCCATCTTGGATTTCTCAAATATCAACTTTAATCATTTCCTCTGAGATCATCCTGAAAAATGTTAAAAGTGGAGAAGTTTATAATATAATAGAAAATAATATGCTCAACAAAACAAATATTAATGATCACATACCAAATAATTCAATCAATAAAAAATCATAGATAAAATAATCAATAATCCAATTCAATAAGTCACATAGCTCAAGTTCTATCAAACATAGTCTCATATTTGGTTTATATAAGTGACACTTAGACATTTAAATTCCATATTCCTATCAAACTATTACATCCCACAAAATTGTAATCACAATCGCATCCCGCAAGGGCCATAATTTACATTTCACAAATTATGTCTCAAGTATACTTCTTACATGTATTAATCAATTCTAAAGTATTTAACTAAAAATACAAGTTAACCAATAAAAGTGTCAGAATTTTATATCAATTATAATAATTAATAAGAATACAAATTTTAGATAATCAAATGACACTTTTTGTAAAAAAAATTAAAAGATAGGAACATATTATATACTACCACGTATCTCAAATCTATCAATAACTCCGATAGTTATGAAATTCAAAATATCAACAACCAAATACTTAAATTTTAAAATAAAATCACTATTTAATTTTTGACCTTAAAAATCTCATAACTTTTTCTCTCTCCCCCCCTTCCCCTTCTTCCTTCCTTCCTTTTTTTTTTTTCCCTGGCTTGGACAGGGGCAGCTACTTATAGCCAACACATGAGGGCTTCATTTGGCCTATAAGACCATTACGTAAGTTGGCTGACATTAGCATGGTGAAGAAAGTTGACACTTTTCTAATTTTTTTGGTCATGTTCTTCATATATAGAAACACTTGTCACTTTAACACCGTACCATCTCCCACCCATTTAACACTTGTATAATCTCCCTCTCTCTCTCTATATATATATATAATAAAATAATTTATAATTCAAATTTAAAAAATAAATAAAATGACTCTTTTTATTTGCGGTTGAAATTGTTTTAAATTTTATTTTAAAATTAATCTAACGGCTAATATTAACACCCTAAATTTAATAAGAAAAATAAGCATTTAAGAGTGTATTTGAAGTGACTTTTTAATATTATTTTTAAAAATTATTTTTCATAAACATTTTAAAAAAGAATAGTGTTTTAAATCACCGCCACTGCCACCACCACCACTGCCAGGACCACCGCCACTACCACAGCCACCGCCACCACAGTCATTGCCACCCACTACAATCATCACTATTTTCTATAACCACCATTGCTGCCTACCACCGTCTCCACCATCGTCGTCGCCGCCACCACCACCACCACCACGGTCAATGCCACCTACCACAATCATCACCACTGCCGCTCACCACCTTTCACCCCATTACAAATCGATGCTTAAATTTTTTTATCTTTTTTCTATGTTTGTGATTTAATTTTGGATATGAATACAAATATGTTTATTATTTTACTATTTTTTATGATTTTGTGCCTTCAGATACAGACAATAACTAGTATATATATATATATATATATCCAACCATTATATCATTTCAATACTATGATATTTTTATTTAAATACCAAATATAATTTATATTATAGTTATTCGACTCATTTTCATGTAAAGAATTTATATTTAATGTTCATTTGAAATTTTTAAAAATAATTATTAATTATATAAAATCATAATTAACGACTTAAATAATATGTTAGCAATTAATTTTAATACAGTTTGTCATAGTATTATAATAAAAACCGTAGTAAGTTATACTTTATTATTTTGCTAATTAATTAAACAAAAACATACATAACTAGACTATATTGATAATTTTTTTTGTCAATATTGAATTAGTGTTCTATTATCTTACTCTTATTCAGTATCTTATCAAATATTAAATTATAATAAATATTATTTTTATGCTATATTTTATTTGTTTATATAAAATTAATTCATATTAATTAATACAATTATTTTTTATTAGTTGTGCATTGATGTATTGATTGCAAAAGAGTCTGTCTATACGCTCTGCAATCTGGACTGTCCTAGATTTTGGTTTCCCTCCAATCAGCTCCCCGTAAGCCAACGCCAATTTCTGTGTCAATTCCATTTTATATCGTCTCTCTCTCTCTCTCTCTCTCTCTCATCCTCACAACACTCCAAAACAATATCCGTAAGAAAATATCAGCAGCTCCACCAAATTCATATCTATTTCCTGCCGACTGGAGAACAAATACAGTTGTTCTCACTCCCGATTCTACACACTCAAAATAATCTCATTTTAAAACTTCAAAACCCTAACCCTAGCCCTGAAATTTCCACTTGCGTTGTAATGTTTCTTTGAGAATTACTCACCATGGACGTCTCTTATTTGCAACAAAGCAACTTTATTTTGACTCCAATTCGTTATTGGACTCATCGTCCTCTCTTTGTTCTCCCTAGGATTTCGATATCGGTCCACAAGAAGCAAAAAATGTTGATCCATTCCGATGTAGGAACATGTGCTCGGCTTCCACTTCGACTTCAGAAACCTTAGTTACTGGATCGCGCAAAGAAGATGGGAAGTCAAGAGAAGTTGTGAGCAAGAAAGAAGATGAGTTTGGAGACTTGAAATCTTGGATGCACAAGAATGGACTTCCTCCTTGCAAAGTTTTTCTCAAGGAAAGGCATTCCCACGACTCGGAACATCGCTCCATACATTATGTAGCTGCGAGCGAAGATCTCCAGGTTTAGTTCTATGAACGATTTGGGTTTTAATTGTTTGCTGTTTGTTGTTTTATAGAGGTTTATTGATCATCTTTATTTGTTTTGATATACTTCAGGCAGGTGACGTTGCATTCTCTGTTCCAAACCCATTGGTTGTAACACTGGAGCGAGTTTTGGGGAATGAGACCATTGGTAAGGTGCCATGATAAATTTTGCAGTCTTTCTTTTACTTGATTTTCGATTTAGGCTAATTGCAATGGCCTAAATAGTGATGTAAGGGTGGCATTGCGCATGCTATTAGTAATGGATATTATTATGCATTTCGTCAATAGTTTGGGCAGTAGGCCATGCACCCTGAAATTGCATAGGTGACAATCAATAATCGTTGTTGGTGGTCTACAGGTCAAATGTAAGTTTTGATGTAAAATCTCAGCATGTAAGATCACAGAGCAAGAGTGTATGAGCAGTGGATTAGTATTATTTTGATTGGTTATTACAGTGTTCATGTGATATGTCTATTTGCATGCAAATATATGGCCATCCATGATTACACTTAAAAAGGTTAGGGACGGAGTGGTAGTTGCAATGTGGATATCTATGTAAAGATGTGGGTTTTATCCTGGAATCAAAAGGCTTTTACCTTGTTTTTTGCTTCCAGTACATGTTTATAAATTCCACTCTTAAGAAGTGGAAAGCTAATAGTATCCACTGCATGACACCAAGATGAAGGTTATTGATGTCGGAACTTTAAAGCTGGGTAAGGCTGAGGATTCATGGTTCTGAATAATGTGGTTTTCAAGATTGATATCCTTAAGGAACCTTATTGTCATTGCAAAAATTGGGAGTTCTTTTGACAGCCTTTCTGGTGGTTAACTTCGATTTTTTTATTGCATAAAAGCTCAAGTCCCTTGAAGACAAGCCAAAAAAATGAATAAAGATGATGGTTCAAGGGGAATCCAAAACTTCATTTAAAAGGAAGAACCAGGGTATCCAAATGGCTTTATGAGGTGGAATGTGGAAGCTAAAATGAATTTTGCAAGGGTAGTAGAAATCGAAGAGCTAATTGCATAAGTGGCAAATGCGTAAATGTTGGATTTCCTTCTGAAGACTACGATTGATGTGACTACAGGGAATGGGAAAAACATCTCTATAGGCATCATTGAGTTCTTTGAAACTTCATTTAAAGAGGAAGAAGATAAAAAACCATCTGTAGATATGTTGAATTGGTATTAACGTAAGGGACGTAGAGTGGTTTGAAATGGTTCCAGGACAAAAGGTGCAATAGACGTCATTGAAAGTTTTGTTGGTGGAGTGTTAGGAGCATTTTTTGCTGGATCACTCTTACTAGAAGTTTTTATAGCAGTCAAGATGCTTTGGTCGGGGAGAATCAAAGTTTAGACGTAGTTCTAATTGTAAATAATTCTCTAGAATTGGGTATTGATCCGAATTCTTTTTTTTTTTTTTGGGGGGGGGGGGTCAATGACACTTTGCCCTGTCAAATTACAATTGAGTTTTTTGAATTTAATTTCACTTTGCACTTTGCACTTTGATGAGTTATGCTGTTCTGATAGCACGAGTACATGATAGCCAGTAGGTTACAATAACTGTGATGATGATACTACTACTCTTTTTATTTTATTGATTGAACTAATTAGACATGATAAAGGGTGACTCTACGTTGAATGGGCCATTGGATTTCTGATTCAGCGGAACTCTTGACCACAAACAAGTTGTCGGAGTTGGCCTGCTTGGCACTGTACCTGATGTATGAAAAGAAGCAAGGAAAGAAGTCTTTCTGGTACCCATATATCAGAGAGCTTGATCGTCAGCGAGGGAGGGGACAGTTAGCTGTAGAATCGCCTCTTCTATGGTCTGAAAATGAGCTGAATTATCTGACAGGCAGCCCTACTAAGGTATCTATTGCTTGCCTTTTGTTACTTGTGGTAAACTGAGTACTAATGCTGTCCTATATTGGTTTTTCCTCCATAATACCAAATCTACAAAATGCTTATTGGTTTTCTACTCCGAAGTGTTAATTCCGCATTGTGATGTTAATAGGCTGAAGTTTTTGAGAGGGCTGAAGGGATCAGGAGGGAGTATACTGAGCTTGACACTGTCTGGTTTATGGCTGGGTCCCTCTTTCAGGTCGCTTTCTTATGTATTTGGCAGACATGAAAGTATTAAATTGCAATTTCATAGAACAAACCTGTTGGTATTCTTCTCTACTTTCATTTACCTCTGATTACCTGTTTTTCACTCTGCAGCAATATCCATTTGATATACCTACAGAGGCCTTTCCTTTTGAGATTTTCAAACAAGCCTTTGTTGCAGTTCAATCCTGTGTTGTGCATTTGCAGGTTTGCTTCTGTGCTGAGAGTACTTTTTCCTGAACCTCTGAATAAGTTATCTGGGAACAGTAGAATCCTTTGTCCTTTTCCATTTCTCATATTGATGGTCTTGCAGCCTGAAGCATATGTAGATCTCATGTACGAAACTGTTGTTTCTTGGATTACCATAAACTTCCCATAGTTTCTCCCTATATTAGATTAGTTCGTGGATGTAATAAGATATGAAGCACAAGGACACATTCAGTCCTACATGCATGTGTATACGTAATATATATTTGCAATATAAAGTAATATCCAAGTGCTATATAAGTGCTGATTAGGTTCAAAATCATCATAGATGTTATGTTATTTTATTTTATGTAGGTGTAAGGTGGCTGTTAATAGATATGTTTCCTGATGGGCTTGAAGTTATGTTTAGCTTGTCATGCAATTGAATGATACCTGCACTCTCAAAGGCCTTTCTTAGCTATTTTTTCTAAGGTGACTTGATGTTAGTCCATCATTGAATTATACAAAATCCTTTTGTGTTATGATGAAGGATGTTAAGCAGGCTGTTAACCTGCACATTTTGAGAACCCCATTGGGTTGCTTTAAGTGAACCCGTCTTTCTTAAACAGTTTTATTATGAATCGACCACACCACACACTAGTTTCTCTTTTTCTCTTCTTTATTTTTTGTTTTTTTTTTAAAAAAAGAGGGGGGGGGGGGGGGGAGGGGACCACATCCATAGTAACTGTCTAACACACTTTGAACTCAGAAAGTCAGTTTGGCTCGGAGATTTGCTCTAGTTCCTCTTGGGCCCCCGTTGCTAGCCTATAGAAGCAACTGCAAGGCAATGTTAACAGCTGTTGATGGTGCTGTTGAACTGGTTGTTGATCGTCCATACAAGACTGGGGAACCTATTGTGGTCTGGTATGAAATCTTCTTTCATTGATGCATTAACTTGTACAGTTTTAAGGGAATGGAACTGCTGCCCTTGTAGTTTCTCTTGTGGTTTTGCTATGGAAATGCTGCCCTTCCTGGTAATTTTGCCTGTTGTCAATACTGAAAAATATTAGAAGGCCTTGACAATGTCCATGAAAAAGAGCATCTGTTCGAGCCACCCAACAACTGAATTTCATAGAACAAAAACTCCTAAGATTTTAACAACAAATAGCATCCAAAGAAGTTCATATTTTGAGCACATTGCCCTTAGCTTTTGTTTTATAATAGGACAATAATACTCTTTGAAGTAATACATTAATCTGTCAGGTAAAGCCTTGCAATTATATTGTTTTTTTTCCTGTCAAACCGACTAGGAAGGATTAATTGTTCTCTCTCTCTTCATAGGCATGCTCACCCACAGAAGTGCTTGTATTCTGCACTTGCATTCAATAAATCTCATTTTTGGGGGCTTCCTTACTTGAAAATCTTATTCCCATTTCCAAAGTACCGTACAACTGGTCAGACATGGGACCATGGATCTACATAGATTATTTATAACTGATTTTTTCTAACACTTCATGCTGGATTTTGGACCTTTTCTTCGGTTTGTGCACGTGAAGGCGATTAAAAGAAAATGCTACATTTTTCTTGAACTTGAGTGATGAAAGAAGAGATAGACAAGTTCTTCAACATCTTCTAAATTCACAAATGGCAAAAGAAAAAATTAGCTGAACATAGAGATCATAAATAATGAACCTTGATGGGGAAGGGATCCATTGTTGAGGTCGATGGATTGCGTTCACTAGGCAATGATAGGTGAACTTGTATGCTTAGGATGTTTTTACTAGGGGCATACAAATAGAAAAAGGTATTTTGGTCTAAATCTTAATTTTTTCCAACTATTTTTGATGGAGAGTTAACAGCTGGGATTTCTGGTTCAAGAATTTGGCTTTTGGATTTTTTTATGCACACATTTTTTTTTTGAGAGTTTTTGATATTTTCCTAGTTTATTATATTTTGTATTTAGCAAAAATGTTTCATAACCTTACTCCAAGGTGGCACATTTTGTAGGTGTGGGCCACAGCCTAATTCAAAATTGCTTATAAACTATGGCTTTGTTGATGAAGATAATTCTTATGACCGTATGGTGGTTGAGGTGAAATTTTAGTCTACTATCTTCGTCCTGCATTTCGCCTCGGTTCCAATTGAATGCCTTTGTGACTTTGATATTGGTCATTAACGACACCTCCACCATCTCCTTCTTCAGGCAGCATTGAATACGGAGGATCCACAGTATCAGGACAAAAGAATGGTTGCTCAAAGGAATGGAAAACTATCGGTACAAGCTTTTCAGGTATAACTCATTCTTTTCATGTAGATGGTTCTATCTTATATAGTTGTTCTCCACAACTTATTTAAGCCGTCCCTTACCACAGGTATATGTGGGAAAGGAAAGAGAGGCTGTTATAGATATGCTACCTTATTTGCGACTAGGGTATGTTTCGGATCCTTCGGAGATGCAGTCTGTCATATCTTCTCAAGGTCCCATATGCCCGGTAAGCTTATTTACGGGCATTCATTTTTAGGTTACTACTTTGCTATGTAGCGTAAGGAGGAGCTTTTTTTTTTTTTTTTTGGGGGGGGGGGGTGCGTGGTGATGTAATTTTATTGGATTTTGACGTCTCAACTTAGGATATTTACAATAGATTGAGAAAATTGTGTGCTAATAATGCATTCAGTTTGTCAAAACCCCATTTTTTCTGTCATGTGGTAGTGAACTTCTTTTAGTTTTCGTTTACAATTCAAGCTCGTTTTAAGCTTTCTCAAAAGTGAACACATGAGAGCTCTATGTTCATCGCCATAACTTGAGGTTGGATTTTTATTTCATTTTTGACCAAGCAGCAAGTTAGCTCCAATTTCAGAGAAACTGGGATATGACCAAAAGTTGAAGTTTGTAGTTATTGTAAACTGACTTGATGGAGAAATTTCACGCTTTCTTGGAGAGGTGGCATGAAAACGCTGAAATGCTTGCATTTACAGTGGTAGCGATATTCATGTAGAATTGGTCATATCTGTTGTTTTATCCTTCTTCCTCACTAGCAAGTCTGCCTGTAGGAATCGACAATTGTTTGTTTGTAACCTGTTAGCCCAAACCCCGCCCCTCCCCTCCAAAAGAGAAGAGAGGAGAAGGAAAGCCAATCTGAAACATCTTCTACCTTAGTGGATCTACATTAATTAGATTGGAGTGCCTGTTTCTTGGGTTTGGTAATAATTTGTTCATTAATACTGTAGGTGAGCCCTTGCATGGAACGAGCAGTTTTGGATCAACTTGCTGCATATTTTGAGACAAGACTGGCAGGATACCCTACCACTCTGAGTGAAGATGAATCGTTGGTAATCTTGCTTCATTGGTAATTTTGCTTCCTTTAATTTGGAAAATGAAACTTTGTAAGTGGGTATTGATATTTAACTCTTACATTTTAAATGAGCTAGTTGGCCAATTGTAATTTGGATCCAAAGAAAAGAGTAGCCACACAGCTTGTCAAATTGGAAAAAAGGATTCTAAGTGCATGCCTGCAGGCAGCAGTTGATTTGATACATCAGTTACCTGATCACACTGTATCTCCATGCCCTGCTCCTTATGCCCCAATTTTGGAATGAAAGGTCTCTCTCTCTCTCTCTCTCTCTCACACACACACACACACACACATGCATACATTGTCACTATACTTGTTCATCATATTCAGACTAAATGATCATATTGCAGATACTACCCATCTCCTGTTTGATCCTCTAAAACTGCGAGCTCTTTGTGATACTTTCTTATGTGGTTCTATATGGGCAAACAAAGATGAGGTAAGAGCAGTGAAATTCATTTTATTTTAAAACTGTGCTACCATTTATCCTTGTTTGGTTGTGATTTTTTTTTGTTGGGGGGGGGGGGGGGAGGTGGGGGTGAGGTTCGAACCTGAAATCATTTGCAGACGTGAGTAAGCTATCTATAACCACTAGGCCACCTTTGGTTGTGATTTATGTTTGCATTTTTGGGGTTGAATAAGTAACTGAATCCACGTACTTGTATTCCTACTTTTTATTGGAAATGGCTTACATATCAGTTGACAATGGTGGTGGACTTATTATGGTGGGATATGCAAATTCTGCATGAAAACCAAGATGTAAATATATTACCAACAAAAGAAGAACGAACGAAGGAATTAAGGGTTCAAAAAAGGTAACTATGGACATTTAGATTTAGCCCTTGTGAGGGTCCTCCAGACCAATGGAATTTTCTGGTTCTATGTGGATGTCTCTATTGGTTGGGTGCTCATAGGTATCTTTTCTTTCTCCAGGTCCTTGGTGTTGTGTCCTCTGACTTGATGATATTTTGTTGCATGCTGCCGCACAGGGGTGTCAATCGTGTCAGGTTAAACGGATGATGGGTGAAAAATATACAAACCTATGTACACGTTTAATAAACGGATAAAAATTTATAACACAAATCGTTTAATTAACGGATAACACGACATGACTCGTTTAACTCATTTAAAAATAACAAAAAATAAAATATTATTATTTTAACAAATTTTTACACTTAAATTTTTTTCTTTCCACTATACTTTCCTCAATTTGAAAAGTTTCAGCCAAAAATTTATGTGATAAGCCACACCACACAAATTAACTAAAAAGAGGAGGCCACTACCTCTTTTATAGGCCAGTAAAGCCAATTCTCCACTCCCCTGTGCCGATGTGGGATGCAAAGAAAAGGCATTCAATGCCTCAAAAGCCATACACTGCCTCAAAGCCCCCTCTTCCTACTTTTTTTTTTTTTTAAAATATTTTCTTTACACATTCATTATTTTATATATATATAAAATAATTATTAATTTATTATTATATTAAATTTATTTAAATGGGTTGACAGGTATCACCTAAATACGACTCGTTTATTAAACGTGTTTGGTGGGTCAACCCGTTTATTATCCAAACCCGTTTAATTCGTGTCGGTTAATCGTGTTGTGTTGGATTTTGACAGGCCTACGCATGTTGGTGGCATTTTGTTTGGATTTCATGTTTTGGTGCTATCAATAGATATGAAATGCGTGGGCCTTAGATTTCGTGGCACATGAGGCATCAGGAGCCAATGTATTATAGGCAACTTTGCAGTTCTTTTAAGTGCAGCTCCCACCAGGACTACCACCCTTGGCTTTGCCATCCCATTTCAGCAATTCTCTGTCCTGCTCCGCCCTATGTTAGTTAGGAAGTCTTCACATTGGTTGCCTTCTCTTAGACTCTTAGTATGTTGTTACTTGTTTCGACATTGTAGCAGCATGACTCTTGGTAGACTTCTTTCCTACACCATCTCCAGGCCTCTCCACATACTTGAGCTCAGCTTCTGGGCTTGTGCATCTGACTAGACTCCCATATTATCCAGCCATCCATTTCCACACATCATCTCTTACCAGTCCTCCTGTGCTGCAACTGCTGAATTGCCTTGCACATGGCTTTGATTGCAGCTATTTTAGTATTAATTGAAATGTGACGAAGGGAAAAAGAAAAAAAATGTTGGAACTTGGAAAGAAAGACATAAGTGGCAGTTTTTGTTTGTTTTTCTTTAGTTTGTTTATGGTTGCTGAATGTTGCATTAGTGGGTTATAGTTTTTCTTCAGTTCAGCATCTATTTTGTCTGTTACATTCTTAGTTTGGGCGGAAACCAGAACCACTGTACTTCTGTCTTACACATTTATATTTTTGCATTTAGATTCAATAAGCTGGGTAATTCTTCAGGGCAACCAAGGAATGCAGTTATATTCTTCAGTTACCATTCCGAGCCTCAGAGCAGATGGCTGCACTTGATTCAGGGAGTTGGAAAATGTACTTGATCTACTAGTATAAGAGTAATCTGGACGCTGCCGCTTCATAAAACTTGATTCTCTATTTTCTTATTCTTGTTCATTCAATTCCTGGGTGGGACTACGAGTACCATTGTTGTGCGGACAATAAAGGTCATTACAAAATATTGCGTCATCTTATGCTGGCCCTTCCGTGTGAATACGTCTTAGGTTGATCAAGGGAACATAACTCTTTCTTGTAACCTTCCATTGCCTCTGAATTGAGTCAATTGTCTAACCATGTGTTTTGGAGTTCTTTTTTTAACTCAACTGGTTATGCTATTGGAAGCTACATCTAATGGTTCAATTTGCTAGACTGGACACTTGTGCATGCCGTAGAGATATGTTGTCTAACAGGTTTAACGAAAATGAATGGGGCCGTACGAGGAGCAGAATGCGTACATAGATTGAAGAGGTTTCAGCACAGGCTATTAGCCTTTTATTTTCTGCATGTAATACAAAATGACAGTTGTATGCGTCAGAAAAGGGTGAGCCTTGATAGGGCTATTAAAAAAAGTATTTTGGCATGTGAGATTAGAGATGCATATATATATATATATTTTTTTTTTTTAAATTGAATTATTCTATGTTTCGTCTTGTAAAATGTTCGTGGCTTCATTGGTCTAAGGTGTTCACAGCTCTCAAATAACTTATTCATTTTCAATATGATGATTGGACAAGTTAATTGTTTCAGCGTAGGATTAATCCTTAGGACATTTAGTTTACTTATGGCTACAATTGAGCAGCTTAATTGAACATTCTGATATGACACGAGGAGTATAGAAGCCAGTTTTCCACAAGAATATCGAAAGTGAAAAATGATAAACAAGAGGTTGTTTTTATATTTGCAAAGCTGGTATAAAGTATATTGCATGCTTCAATTCAATAGTATAATTCATAGGAATTAATGATATATATAGAACATCATGATTAAGTTCATTTTTTTTAGCAAATAGATCCAAATATTTGTTTGTTTCTCTCATCTTTTATTTGACCCATACCTTTTAGGATACAATTTATTTGTTTCAATATTATTTTTATGTTCTTTTTATTTGTTTTGTATGTTGTTTATGAAAAATTGTGGTATTACATGATTGATTATTAGTATTTATTCATAATTTTTTGTTGTTTATTATTGAATTATTTTACTATTTTTAATTTTTTTTATGATCCTTAGCTAGCTTATGTATGTAACGTTTATCTACTGTTTTTTTTTTTTGATAACAACTTTTATTGAAAACTTTTGTTGATATTAATTAATTTTTATTGTGGCCCCTTAATAAGAATGAATAATTTAATTACTTTGTGTTTTTATGTTTAAATGAGAATAAAATCGAGATTGAGAGAAGTATAAAATATGTTTGATTTATTTTTATTTTTGGAAAGGAGATATGCTTATTATATTTTGGGTTAATTGCACTAGATATCCATAAAGTATGAAATTTGTTTTATTTTGGTCCATAATATTTTAATTTATCATTTTGGTACATGAAAGTATTGAATATATTTCGATGTGGTCTATCGAGCACACAACGTCCAAATTGCTAATAATTTTTTTTAATCATAAACTTGACACGTAATATTTAAATATAGACAAAAAAAATTAATTTAGATAGTTTTTGACCAAATTTTTATCTAAATTTTGGTCAAAGAGTTATCTAAATTATACAATTTTGATTATGAGTTATTCAAATTTTAGTCAAGAGTTATTCATATTACACATTTTATTGCTACCCAAATTTTAGTCAAGAGTTATTCAAATTATTTTTTCTCCATATATTAGGTATCAAATAACAAATTTATGATAAAAATTTATTAGTAATTTAGATATTGTCTGTTTGAGGAATTATATAAATATATATTTAATACTTTAGATATTAAAATGATATAATTGAAATATTGAGGATTAAAATGAGATAAATCTCATACTTTGAAGACCTGTAATGCAATTAACTCTTATATTTTTTTATTGAAGTGTTAACTCTTTTTCTGTTTTTTAAAATGTGTATGTGTGAGGCGTTCTACATTTTTTGACCTAAATTTTAAATTTTATTTTGTTGATAAGGTTCGATTTGGCAACTGTTTTTATTTTCAATTTTTGCTGAAGGAAAAAATTAAAATACGTTTGTGTTGCGTTTCTGTTTTTTTTTTTTTTTTTTTGTGTTTTAAAAACAAGGCGAAATTTGCAAATAAGAATTTGGTGTTTTGAAAAACACCAAAAACCGGAAACACAAACGCGCACAGCTCACCCCTTTAATGAGGTCTGGATTTCGAACCCCATTACAAGCAAAAAAAAAAAATTTTCCGTTGGAAGTGAAATGGATTTCAGTTCCCTCAAGCGTTACCAAACCCTACCCTCTCTCGTCCGTATCTCTCGGTCTCACGAAGAACTCCGCAGCAGCTTCCATTGAAGCAATCCGAAGCAGTTTTCTCGTCTATCTGAAGGTATGATATTCTCTTTTCTCCCAGACTCAGGTATGATCCATCTCCATCGATCTCTCTCTAACTACCTCTGATTTTTTTTGTAACTTTTACACTATCCATATACATAGATCTATGTATATATGTGCATATATATACATAGATCAGTATATATATGCATTACATATTTATACAGATCTTGAACTACCTATATACATATATCTATTTATGTACCTATATCCAACCATAAACTTCTGTTAAAGTGTTCTTCACAAATTCGGTCAAAGTGTTCTTGGTGTTTGGGTATTTGAAAATTTCGGCCAGGTGTTTGAAAATTTCGGTCAGGAGTTTGAGAGAAAATATGGGTCTATGTGTTTTGGTATTCATAACTGTTTGGGTGTTCAATTTTTGTTTATTATTGTTCTGTGTATGGGTCCAAAATGAATCTGTGGTTATGAATATGTTGTTTATTATTGTCCTGTATGTTTGCAAAATCTGAGTTTAGCATCTGTGCTATGTACTGAAATGTTGTTTGGCAATTTGTGTTTGGGTGTTTGGAAATTTGTAATCCTCTTTTCCCTTAATCTCAATTAATATTTTAGCAAAAAAAAAAAAAAACGTAGGACATAGGCAAACTAGGTGGCATAATTGGCAGACATATCAAAGATAGAATTTGGACCGGTCTTACAGTCACTAAATATGCTCTATCGGAGGACTTGTGCAGTATATTAATTCTGGTTCAAGGAATTCCTTTCTTTTATTAAGTTGAATTGAAAATCTGTTTATAGTTTAACAGGGAACTTGGCTAAAATGGCTGGAGGTAGAGTGATGCACCAGTTACTGAGGGGAAGACTTCAGTCTCAGTCCACCGTAAGAATCTTTTTGGTGCTTAGCGTTGTTTCATACAATTTATGTTTAGTGCAATCTGATTATGATGTACTTTTTGTAGCCTAAGTTGTGTTGATACAAATCTTGGTACCTGACTTATTACTTTTTTAGGTATTGACACCTTTAAAAAAATACATTTAAGACATTGATTGTTGGTGGTCATCATCTACTGGCTCCTGCTTATGTTATCTACACGCAATTTGCAGGTGTCTCCAGGTCTTTTGTCCCTTTTTTCAAAGAAAGATCAAGAGGGAATTGGATCTGCTGGCATGAAGTCCCTGAGAGCATTTGCACTTCTTGGAGCGGGTGTATCTGGGCTTTTCAGTTTTGCAACAATAGCATCTGCTGATGAGGCTGAACATGGTTTAGAGTGTCCAAGCTATCCTTGGCCTCACAAAGGCATTCTCAGTTCATATGACCATGCTTCGTGAGTTTCTTTTGAGCCTGTCAAACAATTGTATGATAATATATTCTTAATTTGCTGTTCAACATAGGGTTTATCATGACCATTGGATCATATATGGACTCTTCATCAACGATTCAATTATAGTTGCCATATATACATTTGTATCATATACTTATTCAACTGAATTGAGAATCAAATCAAATCAGGTGAATATCCCAAATGGGCAATACACGTGAACAAAATGAAGGATGATATAGTATTGTATTGGGATTTATAGCATTATTATCCAATATATTGTAAATTGTAAGGCATGAGTTTTTTGTTGGTATGTGAACAAGCTTATAATATCCACAATGTTGCATCAACTCTGTGATTTTTTCCCAAGGAAAAAAAAAGGAAGGGGTATTGATCTCACAAGTAGAAGGGTGTTTATCCTCATACCCAGGGATGTCAATAAGGTTGTGTTGTGTTGCTCCATTTTGGATTCATATAAAGGAACTCCTTGACATGAACACGTACTAGTAGTAGTAGACTTGTTCGTAGATTGGATTTTAGTCTGAATTCAATCGAAATCCGTTTAATCAGATATAGACCAATATTTTCATCCATTTATTCGAATCAGTTTAAATATGGATCGGATCGGATCAGATCTGATCTGATCGGATGCTTGAGTATAAGTAGATTCGGATATGAACTAATATTTTTATATTTGTCGGGTAAACGGATCGAATTCGATAACAGATTTTTAAATTAGATTCGGATTCGGATAGATCCCGTTCTGGCTGGATCCGTTGACAGGCCTATGCACTAGTAGTGAAACAAAAACATCTTCAATATTTCACCCAAAAAGAATTGCTTGAATATGCATTGCAACAGGAAAGCACATTTAAATGCATTTTAACATAGCATCCTTACCATTTTTAAATGCAAGCACATATTATGACGTGGGATCATCCTCTCAGGTCCTTTCATTTGCCAATTAATTTTTAAATCAAATTATTGAAAAAAATAGAATTCCCTTGACAAATAATAAATATGTTTGGTAAAGAAGGAGGAAGCAATTCCCAAAAAGAGGAGGAAATGGGGATCACAAGGATCCAATATTTGGCTCTTCAAAAAGCATTGATCTCCAACTGTACTTAAAAGAAAAAGGAGGAAATCAATAATTAGTCCTAGATTCTTAAGGGGACTTTAGCAAGCTCATCTTAGAGGAGAAATGGGTAGTGATTTACAAGGTTTTATTAGTTCTCTACCCAATAGGTTACTGAATATCAGTTTGTATCGAAAAGGTGTTGAATTGAATCAAATCGAATCATTGGATACTGAATTGAGAATCGTAAGGTTTTAACATGAATTTGATCGAAAGTGTATCTTTGTCAGGAACTAGGTGCATCAGGCCTCAATCTTTACAACTCAGTTGAGTTTGTTACATATCTGATATATTGAACTCTATCTCCTATCTCGACCAAAAAAAAATAATCACCTATTCAGGGCTATTCATAAACATCTTTTCTTGCAATCTCAATAGGCATTATTTTTATCTCCTTTGACTTGCAGCCTTTCAATTTGAAGTGTTATACTCCCTATTACTCCTGCACTATGCTAAAGATATATTTGGCTGTTTATTTATATTTACATAGTGTATCTTTTCTTTTAAGTGTGAGAGCATATTGTTTTATTTTTGCTTATTTGGAATTAATAAGTTGTTTCATGCAACCAAAACCATTAATTTTTGGTGCTTGATTTGATACAAACAGGATCCGTCGTGGTCACCAGGTTTACCAACAAGTCTGTGCATCTTGCCATTCAATGTCCCTAATTTCATATCGTGACTTGGTTGGTGTGGCATATACAGAGGAGGAAACAAAAGCTATGGCAGCTGAGATTGAGGTGGTTGATGGACCTAATGATGAGGGTGAGATGTTTACCCGCCCTGGTAAGCTGAGTGATCGTTTTCCCCAGCCATATGCAAATGAACAAGCAGCTAGATTTGCGAATGGAGGGGCCTATCCTCCAGATTTAAGTCTTATCACCAAAGTAATTCTTGGATTCTTGTTTTTTTTTTTTTTAAATTTGGAAGTTTGTTTCTGTCAACAATCTCTTAATTTTTGTACTTTCAGGCTCGTCACAATGGTCAAAATTACGTATTTGCCCTTTTAACTGGTTATCGTGATCCTCCTGCTGGTGTTTCGGTTAGATCTGCTTCCCACTCTTTCTATGCACATTTATCCATGAACTGCTAATAAATTAGATTGATGTTTACATCTGAATGATGATACAGTTGGCAATAAGATAATGACATTGTAATGAGCTGATGATTATATGTTGATTAGTGATTCAATAAAAAGTTTAATTGTAGTATGTGCTGACTTTTGAGGAAAAAATGCGGCGAAAGTGTTGCATTTTGTTATTGGGGAAACTGTTTCTTTTGGATCTTTCCCTTAATTAACAACTTAGTTTTATTTATTTATTTATTTTGTGGGATGTGGGGGGACGTTTGGGAGTCTCTTTGATTGGCCTTTGCTTCATCATCTTTGGAGGGCTTGACATAGTCAAATTTATCCAAACTGATGTGTTTGATGGCATGCATTTCAAACACACTTCTATACAATTTCAACGAAGTGGGCAATAAGATAGTTTATTATGCAGTCTTTGTTAAACTAGGCACTCACCATGGGTGTGCTGACCTTTGATGGAATTTTGAAAAATGTTTTAGATCAGAGCTTCCACCATTTATGACTTGTTTGACTCTAGTTGTGCAAGTTACTTTCCATTTATTTCTAATGCTAGGTGCATGTGCATTACAACAAACCCTTTCTTGATACATAGCCGATTTGAAAGTACGTTTTGATCAGAAGCATGATAAATTTTGGTGTTTCTATCTGCATCTCTAGTTCCTGTACGATTAAACACAGCTCTGCTTAGAGGGAGGATTTGTCCTATTTTTTAAGATCTTGTTTCAAAGGACTTGACACTTTTTTGCAACCTTTTTTATATACTGTGGGTAATTGAATATAAAAAACTGGCTTAAGTCACCACTGGTCTATGTCTAACTGATATAGTACCTCACTGTGAAAATACGTGACCTTGCTTTTGCTTATGCGTATAGTAAGTGTTTTTTCATAGATTTTAGGCATTGTCCAGCTTCTTTGCTTAATGAGCCTAGGTTTAATGTATTGCAGATCCGAGAAGGGTTGCACTACAATCCTTACTTTCCTGGGGGAGCTATTGCAATGCCAAAAATGCTTATTGATGGTGCTCTTGAGTATGAAGATGGTACCCCTGCAACAGAAGCTCAGGTTAGTTTCTTTTATATTTCCCAGGGGTGATATGAGGCTTGTATTTTCAGGAAATATTATTGTGTCACTTATCACATAGTACTCATGGACGTGTATACATATTTGTGCTCAAATTCTTGGGGGTGCTATATGTTGTTGCAGATGGGGAAAGATGTGGTGGCATTTTTGTCGTGGGCTGCAGAACCAGAAATGGAAGAGAGAAAACTGGTAATTTGACTGGCTTCAAATTCATCAGAAATACTATAAATAATAGTCATTAATTTCTGATATTTTCTGTTTTCCATTACAGATGGGGTTCAAGTGGATATTTGTATTGTCACTTGCTCTGCTTCAGGCCGCATATTACAGACGCTTGAAGTGGTCTGTTCTCAAGTCACGTAAGCTGGTTCTCGATGTTGTCAACTAGAGCTTTGCTTCATCCTAAGCTAATATTTGTGGGATTGTTTGGATAGGAAATAATTATGTTGTTCAACAACTGTTTCACTGCCGTTTTAAGTTGTTTCCAGCAGTTCATCAGAATCTGAATGAGCTGAAGAGTTTTTTTTCCCCCTTAAATTTGAGATACAATAAGAGATCAAATGCATATACATTATTTTTTGTCTGAATACGGAGCTGGGGGAAATTCCTTTTTTCATGCAAATTTTCCTGTTATCTTCTTGTCTTGTTGGATGTGGGATTTTGAAATTTTTGCATTTAATTTTCACTTTATACCTTATTCATGGATCCAAACAACCAAACATACCCATCATCGACCACCCTTTATTTCTCTCCCATACCGTAGTTGCTCCCTGTACCCAGAAAAACACTTCCTTCTCTCCCAAAACACTACTACCCCTTCAAAAGTTTACACCATCAAAAGTTTACACTTCCTTCTTTTCTTATCTCTTCTATTTGGTTTTCTGCCCCTTCTCTCCTATCAAAAGCACACACATGCACACAGACAAAAACGTTCACAAACACCCACGCTGGTCCCTTGTCATAAATTTCTCTGCTTTGGCCCGTATATACCCAGAATGAGTGTAATATTATGACTGGCTATTAAGGATAGATTGATCACAAAGGGTTCGGAAGGAATTTTTTTTTTTTTTGGTCACTATTTGAAATTTTTATAGGAGAGGGGTCTGATAAAGTTTGAACTCGCGAGTTGACAGTCTAAAGCCGAGTTGTGGAACCATTTGGCCATCACAAATCTTTCCGGAACGATGCTTACAACTTAGGACGGATATAGAAATGGGGTGTGGATAAATGTACTTACAACAAATCCCTTGGCCAGAATTCGTTATGAATTCAATTGCTACTCCGAAAGGGAAATGATTGCACAGTATCTGTGCACGTAGATTTTTGCACAATAGGTGAAATAAAAATAGATCTCTCTTTTAGTGAACTCGTGTTTATCGAGAAGATGGTGGATCCCATAACAAGGATTGAGTTGAGAGGGTCAAAGGGGACCTAAGGAGTGGTGATGAATTGTCTCGGGGGTTGTCCAACAACCGGTTCCGATGGATCGCAGGATGCTCCTGGCACACAGAAAAAGAAGTTAGAAGGGCACCGGAGTATTTTTCAGCGTATCCCCTCCAACGATCAAGTTAATTTTTTGAGAGAGGGGAAGAAGAAAATACTATATTGCTCTTGGGGGGTGAATTTATGTACATTTGCAATGTATTTTTAAGGACTATTTATATATTCAAAGACTCATTATTATTGATGATCTAGATAGTAGGTAGCGTTCAGAAATGGGACAGTGTGCCTCCTATTTCACATGAGGAGTGCCCCAATATTAATATCTCGGGATGCTGAACACTTAATGCTCTTTCTCCAATGTAGGGACATTAAATACTCAGATCTTGGATCATTTAATGCTCCTCCTCCTTGGCTCCCAAAACCATTGTGGATGTCCTATCATGCAAGGGTTCATTAAATGTTTGCTTGAAACAACCGTATATCAGCAAGGGTATTTTTGCTTTTTATTTCTAACTTTGCACTTTCTGTGCCTAGCTTTTTTTGGTTGAGTGTCTTATCGACTCTGGCATATTGATTTTATTGTGCAGAACACCACCACCATCTCTAGTCCAGCTATGATTGACTAGCTGTCAGTCACTAGTTGCTAATCAATAGTCTTTCTAGAAATAGGAGACACGTGATGGGACCAGAATTTTAGCAAGTACTCCTATAGTTGAGGACATGCAGTTGCTTGGGGGGAGATACCTCAGAGTCGGGAACAAATGGCATCGGAGCTTATGATACGTGTTATAAGAAGAATAGAAGACGTGCCCTGTGCCGAAGACAGATGTTCTAGTTAGAACAAAAGGAAGTACTCTCGGTGCTTAAGACACAGGTTGGCAATCTACTCCAGTGTACCATGAGTATCAATTAGGAGATTATGCCTAGTAGTCGTGGTTCATATCATCTCGATTCTAGATGGACAAGAACCAAAAGATTAACAATGAGACATTACTGCAAGGAATTGTGAACTGACCATTTAACCATTACCCAATCCAGCTTTAATTGGTTTACCTACCCAAAAAAAAGTCCAGAGAAAAAAAAAGAGTGCACGAGAGAGGAGACGGGGGGGGGGGGGGGGGGGAAAGAAAAATGATGATTATATCAAAATTTTTATTAAATATTGTTTTCTAAAAGCAACACGACATCTTGAATCAATGGATTCTAGTAGTACAAATTAATGAGATTGTAAATTATATTTTATTATTATCTTTAATTAATAGTTATAAATTAGAACAATGTTATGCTGCACAAATTTTTGTCCAAATTTTGTATAACAAATCAATGCAGGTGGTTGAATTAGTGGAATCCACAAACTCTACTAAATATTCAATGTATGAGATTTTGACACATCACTTAAAATATATAAAATTTGGACAACAATTTATGCAGCACACCTTTATCCTCTAAATTATCAATGCTAAAATCAGGTATTGAGATGAATTATGAGATAATATCAAAGTCGTTACCATACCTTCGTCATTCTTTAAAAAAAAAACCGTTTATTTAGAGTATTTTCGTGTTTGATACCAGGTTCATTTCAGCTGATGTCACTGGTATGCTGGTATTTAATTTGGGGGGGGGGGGGGGGGTTATGTTTTAGATTAAAGCTGATGAAAGCGCATATCTCATACATTACGACGGTCGATAAATGGTGGAGATTATGCATTTCATCCAGACCTGCCACCCCTTAAGCAAGCCACGTGTCCACTTTCTCGAACCTTCACCGGCAGCCTATCCACTTCACTTACAGGAATGTTACCATCATGAAAGCCACGTGGCTCGCTATTTCCTGAATTCTTGGCACCTTATTGGATGTTACACTAGCAAATCAGACCCCACTCAATACGTGCACTTTTCTTGCTCAGTGGGACCCTCCGCTTTAAGCAACCAATAATCTCCCTTCACGTCTGTATTGTATTGATGCAATTTTATTCTGTAGCTTCCTGCTTTATTTTCACACAGAGGGAAAGGACTAAGGAGAGAGAAAGAGGACACTCGTGTCTCTATTCCGATCGCCGGCGTTGAGTCCCCTGTGAACAGCCAATCATCTTTCTTCACGTTCTGCAATTTATTCTGTAGCTTCCAGATTTAATTTCAACGAGAGAGAGAAGCCACTCGATCGATTTTTGCCTATTTTCCGCTCACCGGCGTTCAGTTCCAGGTGAATTTCAGCCGGTGAACAGTTACAAATTGATGAGAGAATAGGAATGTTAGGCTCATAGAAGCAAAATAAGGCAAGAGGAGGAGGAATAACAACAAAAGATGTTGTAGATATAGAAGAAACTATTCACAACTGTTATGGGACAGAACATCCAAAAGATCTAGAGCAGTCGTGTGATCCACCGCGACGATGGATACTCGCTGCCACAGACGGTGAAGTTGGCGTTGATGGTTGAGTTATCTGGTCATTGCAGACAGACAATGAACGCAGTACGCGTGGCGGAGGAGAAATGCTAGCATGTGGCGTCAGCTTCAAGTGTGGAAAATATACATGCACGAAGGATTGAAGTTGAGACAGCTATCATTTTGGAAGCAGTTATATACCAGGTATTCTTCTGCTTAATCAAATAAATTATTATTACAAAAAAACAAAAACTGATCTATAAATGAACTAATAGCTAGTTATACAGTGCTGCAAATAGAGTCCGTCAATGTTTTTCTTCCTTTTATGTTCCTATTTAGACGTGACATGTAATTAAAGATACTTTATCCAGATCCGGATCTTCTCGTTTCTAACTTGTCAATTTGGTTAAAGTTTAATTATTCTCTGGCATTTTTGTTTTGGTGTGTGAGAAACTCAAAATTCTACTACCTGTTTAAACAATTTTTTTGTAGATATGAACGATTAAACTTGATTAAAATAGAAAAAGAGTAAAACTATTGGATCTAAAAATTTAATTTAATTTGTTGATTTAATGATGTGATTTCAGTGAAATCATTACATAAATATAAAATTTTAATATTTAAAAAGACTCAAAAATTATAATAAATTAAATAAATAAATTAAATTTCAATAACATTACTTACAGATAAAACTTAAAAAAGAGGGAATCTAAATCCTCCTTGGAACTTGGCTCGGGAAGGTAACCCAATAAAAGGGGAGTAAGCCAAGTTACAACTTACAATTCCTATTTTTGTCCCCACAAAATTAGTTAAGTCTATTAACCATAAAAAATACATGTGCAAAAAGTATACCTCAAATACAAAATAGAACAAAAGTCAAAAGGAAAAAAACAATGGGGGTATGACCGTATGGGTGTGGTTGATCTTCTAAAGACACGCAGGAGATGATCTCCCAACCAAAAACAGAGGAAACTATATAGTTACAAGAAATTAAAAAAATAAAAAATAAAAACTGTAGGGAATTTATCTGCTTGTTCAGGATGTCCTCCCCACGGAAGGATTTTGGTTAACCTGGCTTCGCCCCTTTTAAGGGTAATTCATCAATAGCCTTTACCCCTTTTCGCCCGTAGGAGCTTGTCCCAAAGGGGGAGGAGACGACCCTCTTCCGATGTGGGATAAGCTCCTGCGGCTGAAGAGGAGTAAAGACTATTGGTGAATAACCCTCAAAAGGAGCGAAATCAGGTCAGCCAAAATTCTTCCGTTGGGGAAGGACATCCCGAACACGCGGATAAATCCCCTACAAAAACATAGGCAAAGTGGAGCAACATTGCACTAGCAAACACTCTCCTAAGCAAAGTCAGAGCTAAAAAATAACAAAAGACAAGGTATACATAGGATTAGGGTCGGAGTAAGGATTTCTCATTAGAGGAGTCAAACTAATAAAGGAAATTTTTTTAATAGTTTATACAAATTATTTCCAAGCATGAAAAAATATTTTAGGATTCAACACTAGATTACCATTAAAACAGTAAAACCAGTTTTTATTTAAATTAAAGAAAATATGAACAACAAATCATAAAATAACTTATGGTATTACATTTCAATTCAATCATATATTAAAATAAAATACGATGTTATTTCAAATTTCAAAATTTATCTATAATATATGATGATAAACTAAATTTTAAAAATTTTCCTCAATATAAAACCACTTTATCCATAACAAAATCATTATTCATTTTATATTGTAAAAATTAGTTGAAATCATCATTTATTTTGTTGATTTACTTAATTCAGAAACTAAAACATTAATTTTTTTTTGGGGGGAGAAGGCAATGGGCCACTTACTTCCCAAAAATTAAAAATAAGTTAAGACCGTTATAAACATTTTCAAAAATTAAGGGGGACAAATGTATTAAAATAACTAATCTATCAACCCTTAATAATACATAAATAAAAATATTGAACCCGGGGGAGTAAATATTGAATGCAACGGTGATACCACGTCATCATTGATTACATGATATCACCTACTAATAATAAAACTTCAAATGGGAAAGGTGAACTCCACTTGAACTTACATGACAAGTTAATTATTAATTTTTATGAGTTTTATGTGCTTATTTATTTTAGTACTATTAATTGGTGATATCACGTCACCTTGTATCACCATTGTAATGAATATTTTATTGGGGGAGAGGGAGGGGAAAGTGCCCACCCTCCTCCCTACGTGGCTCCGCTCTTGTATAGGATCCATTTAGGCAATTCAACATTAACAGCCTCAGGAGAGGACCCATCCTCAAGGACCCAATGCTTCCACACACCGGTAACATATAAACATGCCTCAAGGCGGATAAAAAATACTGTTTTAAAGCGCCCATCGCCTCTGTAACCATACTTAGGAAGAGTTCTTCAATAACCTCTGCTCAAGTTCAATTCATATCTAATACAATCAACCATCTCTGCAGAGTGTAGCCACATCTTTGTAAGCATTCTTGAAGGTTCTGCGACGTTCTCCTATCCAGGACATGCAAACTGTGATGGATAGGATTAATCTACTGACCAATTTCTTCAATTCTTTGCCAGTGATCTTGGTTGGCAGCCAGTAAATAAGATCTTTCCATCTGAGATTAGACCTTTGAACACATCATATGATCTATAGTAAAAGTCCATAGCCTGCTGTTAAAAGGACAGTCGGCAAAGAAATGATGATGAGTTTCATTTATTATCTCTGCAAAGGATACGCTAAGTTATCTCCACTGGTATGAAGCTTACCAAGGTTGTCAATCTCTCCCTCACTAATTTCCACAAATTGAAGTCGTATCTACGTTTTGCTTTTGAGTACCCAGTAATTCTAGTCCATAGTTGTTTCTGATTGTTAACCCTGAAAATCTCCCAAAGCAAATCCGGAACACAATTTAGCTGCAGGAAGTCTGTTGTGGACTTGTGGGTGTCTTATATTCTACTCCGAATATGAAGCTAGTTGGGACTTTGTCATCTTTAGGAATTTGGAAAGGTGTATGGCTTGAAATTCTATTTCAAGTAAAAGATTAATTAGAAACTCTATTGTATTAAAAGAAAAAGTATTTTGGCCCTGTAAATATATTATAGACCACTCAGTTTCTTTTAAAAATTTTGTCCCCCGTTTTGAGCATCCATATTTGGTTATATACTCAGGATTAGAGAATTTTGTGTATTCTTCTTTTGTTGATAGTGAAACTTTTTTCCATGGATGTAGACTTTCGAGCTGATATACTTAAATTTGTGTTATGTATTTTTTGTTATTTGAAAAGGTGTATGGCTTGAAATTCCATTTCAAGTAAAAGATCAATTAAAAAGCCTATTGTATTAAGAGACAGAGTGTTTTGGGCCTGTAAATATATTATAGACCACTTAGTTTCTTTGGAGAAATTTTGCCCCTAGTTTTGTGCATCCATATTTGGTTATATATTCAAGATTAGAGAATTTTGTGTATTCTCCTTTTGTTGATAGTGAAACTTTTTTCCATGGATGTAAATTCTCGAACTGATCTACATAAATTTGTGTTATGTATTTTTCTATTTTGTTGCGTTTATTTGTTTGTAACCTTTGTTCATAACAAACTAATATCAGAGTTACGATTTTGGGATTGCTATAATAAAATTCAAAGTATTAAATTTTGGTGATTAGAACAATTGCTATCTATGGAAGATCTAGATACGTGATGTTGCCATGACAAAAATTCTTGATGAGAAACTGTGATCAACACTGATGGAAATTTAAATATATTTGCTATCATAGAGAAGGCAATTGGAAAGTTCATCTTTTGGCTTAATGGCTCCGTGGGCACACAAGCCACTGTAGAGATTTGTCATGAATGCTTGTGATATTATGCCCTAGCGAGATTTGTGGGGAAGACAACTAGTTCATTCAATTCTGTTTTGATAGTTTGATAGAATGCAAAATACCCAACAAATCTCCACATTGACTTATATTCCACTCTTAATAGGAAATTAGTTTGTATTTTATTCTCTTTAAGGATTTGGAAAAGTGTATGGCTTGGAATTCCACTTCAAGTAAAGGATCAAATAGAAACCTTATTGTATTAAGAGAGAAAATATTTTGGGCCTATAAATAGATTATAAATCAATTTTTTTTTTTGGGATTTTTGCCCTGAGTTTTGTGCATCCATGTTTGGTTATATTCTCTGAGTTAGATAATTTTGTATAATCTCTCTATAATGATAGTGAAACTTTGTCTTAGCGCTTCGCCTGTGAATTTAAACTTTTGAAACAATCCACGTAAATTTGTGTTTTGTATTTTTCTATTTTATTTTGTATGTTTGTTTGTAGTCTTTGTTCTTAACAAAGCCAATGGAAAAAATCCTCCTGACTACGGAAGATTTGTGAATGTTTCTTTGACTCTCTTGGAGTTCTCCATTCCTAGTAGCAGGCCATCTCCAACAGCCATTTGGTATTACTCTATTAACCATGGCAATCCTCCAAAGTCTAGAAGCTAAAATGATTCCTTTGTCTCCCACCAGTTGCAAAGGTCAAAACACCAAAATATTGATCAACCATTTCCAATTTGACATCTCACCAATGGCAATTTCTCCTTTCATAATCCCAGCAGTTTCCCCCATGACCAAGAAGAAGTTTGTGCCAACTTTATTATCCAGAAGCTTATTCCTTTTTGACAGATACATGTTAAGTCCAGCTCACCGATATAAAACACTATCCTTGATGATCACATTCCAGAGATGCTTAAGGATATAGCAGCATTATTCCAAGGCCCCATACTTTGATCTCAAGTCCTCATTCATCCTCAGGTAGGTAAATAGAAGACCATGCTACCCTAGCTCCACTTGCTCTCACATAAGTTCCAATCCACAATAATCTTCTCAAGATTGCAAACAAAGAGGATCCCATCTTACATTGTCATAAGTTTCACAAGGTCCACCTTCAGAGTGCATCTAGGGTTACCCAATGAGAATTCTTAAAATGCTCCTGAGACAGAAGTATCTGATATCTTTTTACCTTCAACAAATGCAGATTGTGATATGCCAATCAGGATAGGAAGAACCAGTCTAATCCTATATATTGGCCTCAATCTTAAAAATGCCTTTGTCAATTCTATTACAACAAGAAATGGGCACATAATCACCAAGCTTAGAAGGATTATATACCATTAGAATGAGAAAAAATATGGTAGAACTAAGCTCGTGCAATTGTCAGCCAAATTCAAAAATGGACAACACAACATTAGTAATCCATTCCCTCACAACACTCGTTTTTATTAAAAAAAAATAGCTGAAAAACTATTTGGTCAAGGTGTTTTGACCCTTCTTAAGTGAGAAAACAACATCTCTAGCTTTTTCCCTTGTCACCTCCTTGCCAACTATCTCAACAAGGTCTGTTGGGAATCTATTCCTCATAGACTGTTCCACCCACCATATGGGAATAAGCAGCCGAAGGAAAGTGTTTCCTGTAACTTCTTGTAGTAGTTGACAACTACAGATATCAATTCCCTCATATCATTAACTTTAGTTTCATCGTCCGACTGTACTGAACACATCCTTCTCCATACCCTTTGCTATTAATGGATTTAAAGAAGAAAGGGATATCCTTTAATTTTTTTTTTGAAAAAAAAAATTACCTTTTTTCTCTTAGCTCAACATATCTATTCTTGTCTTCTTCCCATAGCCTTGGATGATGAGGGTTGCTGTCAAATGTTTTCCTGATCTCCTCTATTTTCTCTATAGTTTCCAGGACTCTACCACTCTATCTATAAATATACACAGACATCATTAGCATTGATAACTATAACATTGAGTTATCACATAATTATTAAATTTATAATTTTTCGTCATTATCAATGTCCATAATAGAGAGTAAAGAAACATACTTATCATTGCATTTTAGGGGACAGACACTCGAGGAGATCCATAAGCACCAGTGTGGGGGCAAAATCTGTCTTGAAGATATAATGTCAAATACTAGCCTTAATTAGAGTCTATGACAGATCTTGTTCAGCAATCGGGTGAGTTTAATTTATCTGTTATTGTTCTTGTTTTGCATGAATAATTTCAAAAATCAGAATAAGTATTTTATGTACATTACACATCCTCTTTAACATGTTAGGGTGTCACCGGCCGAAGTAACAAGTGGATTAGCACCAGATACAAGGCCCCGTTTAAGTCCTTGAGAAGTAGGCTTATGATGCTTACCTAAACTGAGGATAAGAGTCGTAGGATTGGATCTAGATGATTCTTAGTTTTCCAGCACATTAGTGAGTAGTGGCAGGGTCCTTGGTCATTGGAACACAGTGACTTGCCTCTTGTACTGAATGGTTCTCCCTTGCTTTCTTCTTTATCCATCTAATGCCTTCACTGGTCCGCTCTTCTCCAACACCTCTGTCACCCAGGTTATTCTACTATTTCCACTATAACATGCCTTCACAAGGGTTCCTTATTACTATGATTTTCATAAGGTCGAGGTTTTCATGGTCCTTCCAAAAGGTAAGTAGTTGTTTGAGAAGGTCATTTTCGATCAGAAGTTCGATAATACTCTCATCCCTGTCCTTATCAAGATCAGATGTTTCTCTTTCGAGAACAACCTTAGCATGACTGTCACATCCTGTGGTTGAGGCTTCAAAATCTGGTCTTCTTCGTTACTCTGCACCTCATTAACTCTTGTTGTAGCGATAATTTCCCTAAACAAACCTATGCCAGCTTGTAATTTAACATTAATGGTTTTCTTATTTGCTGTCGTCAACAGTTGCATAACAATTGTGTCAAACAGCTTGCCCATCTTTTTTTCAATCACCATAGGTAGTAAAACAGAAAGGCTATACCAAAGGAAGGAAAGAAGGAATCTAAGAAAGATTCAAGAGGTCATGCAGTTTACATTATTCTCACGTAAATTCACATACAAAATTTGATTCCGAAGCTTCTAAATTTATTAAATATCTTCATGTTGTTGGTGATTATCATGGACTTTGTTACGTGCTTTCATCGCCTTGTCGTGCAATTAATCTTCACTTCACTGTCACCGCTCCCTCGTTATTCCATCTGCCTCAACTGCTTGGAAAGTTGAAAATTGGGTTTTTGAATGGGGAAAGTTTACTGTACCAAACAAAAAAATTCGGTATCATACCATTGATTATCATTTTTTATGGTAAAATTATAACTTTAAAATAGAAAGTTATAACTACTCAAAGAAAGATCATGATTGATCACAAACACCAATGATTGATTATAAATTCTCGGTATCAATCCTAATCTTTCATGATTGGTCATGCCTATTAAAATTATAACTTATTATATCTCAAAAAAATTATAATTTGCCCTTAAAAAATTATAATTTTTAGCACTTTATGCATTGTACCATCTTTTGTTGATTACATTCAATATTTTGTAAGTATTCTTAGATAGTGGCCACATGATTATCTATCTTCTTTTTTGTAGTTGCCTCTGTTCTGCCTCCGTTTTAAACTTTATGCAATCAAGCTAAGGATCGAGGTTGAGGCGGCTCTCTGTTTCGAATCATTTACATATCAGGTATTCTTCTGCCTGCTTAACCAAAAAATTCTAACCACAAATAAAATCTGATAAATAAATTGAGTAGGTATATATAGAGTGCTGCAACTAGAGTTCATGAATATTCTTCCTTTCATTTTTGCTTTAGACGTGATAAGAAATTAGTTATTTTCTTTAAATTTAAGGGTTAATCTCATTTTGCACCCTAAAAGATTGTTCAAATCTCAATTTACATCCCCAAAGATCAAAAATCTCAATTTACACCCTCAAAGATAGAAATTTGTATCAATGTGCATCCCCAAAGATAAAAAATCTCAATTTGCACCCTCAAAGATAGAAATTTGCATCAATGTGCACCTAAAATTAAATTGATAAATTATACCTAGATCCCCTCATGTTTGTCACTTAATCATTTGAACTCCTTCACATTTAGAATATTTCCCTTACATCTCATGACGTTTGTGCATGTGTAACACATAACCACTTTTCGTTGATATCTGTTAATATAATCATTAAAAAATATGATTTTATCCTAATAAAAAATTATAATTTCATATTACCTTTTATTTTGTGGATTCGATATACTCTAAAGTTAAAAATCAAGCTTACCATTTGAATGTCTAATAAAATGTAGATATTTATATAAAAGGTAATATGAAAAACATTATATAAATATTTACATTTTATTAGACATTCAAATGATAAACTAGATTTTGAACTTTAGAATATATTAAACCCATAAAATAAAGGGTAATATGAAATTATAATTTTTTATTAGGATAAAATTATATTTTTTAACGGTTATATTAATAGATATCAATGAAAATGGGTTACGTGTTATACGTGCACAAATGTCATAAAATGTAGGAGTAATATTTTAAATGTGAAGATGTCTAAATGATTAAGTGACAAGTATGAGGGGATTTAGGTATAATTTATCAATTTAGTTTTTAGGTGCACATTGATACAAATTTCTATCTTTAAGGGTGCAAATTGAGATTTTTTATCTTTGGGGTGCACATTGATATAAATTTCTATCTGTGAGGGTGTAAATTGAGATTTTTAATCTTTGGGGGTGCACATTGATACAAATTTCTATCTTTGAGGGTGTAAATTAAAATTTTTGATCTTTGAAGGTGTAAATTGAGATTCGAACAATCTTTCGAGGTACAAAATGAGATTAACCCTAAATTTAATGATAAATAACCGAATTCAGTCGAAACTGATAAAATTTAAAATTGAGAGGATTCAAGTCATACTGCTACCTTTGGGTAGAGGAAAGTAACCCGATAACAGGGGGCACAAGCCATGATACTGCTTACCAGTCATTCTTAGGGGGGTTGGTAAGCTTACACTAATTTTAGGGCAATTTAAGGTTGCTACAAGCCTACAAGTATAAGGTCAAAACTCGCTGACTTTGAATCCAGAATTCTAACCCCATGATCAGATCATGGGATTAACCCAAATTCTGATCAGATCATGATCAGAATCTGTAAGCACGAATTTTATACTCCTTGTTACAGATATACATGTACATATTTTATTGGTATGTTAGATATGGATAACTTGATTTCATATGAGATAAAATTGGTGCTTACAATTTTTTTTTCTCTTTACTAGTTTTCATTTATAGCAAATGTAAAATTATTTATCTATCCTCTCAAACACAAAAAAGTGAAAAAAAAAACAACATTTTTTCCTTTAAAAATAAGAAAAATTTTAGTCATACCTTTTCTAATTTATCATATCTTCAATGACTCTTCTTCTATTTTTTGAATATTTACTGACATCCCCTATTATATTAAAAGTGTTAACTAGAATGTAATTTTGCAAAATTGTTCATGATATATTTTAGGAAAAACATTATCCACACTCTTTTTAGATAGACATATCTTCAATGATATTTCCTCTATTTTTAAAATTTTTTTACTTACTAAAATTTGGACCGATTAAAACTCGATTCAAGTTAATTAAAATTTATTTTTACGTATTAAAATTCGAGTGGATTAAAAATTATATTTTTTACGTATTAAATTTTGAACCAATTAAAATTCTATTCAAGTCTATTAAAATTCATATTTAATCGACTAGAATCAACTTTTAATCGACTCACATTGAATTTTAATCTGTTCGAAATTTGATACATAAAAAATTATAAATTTTAATTGACTTGAATCCAATTTTAATTGACATGAATTTAAAATATAGGCGGGTGAAAAATATGTAAATTCGTATATAACATATTTAGTAAACGAGTGAAAAATCTCAACATGAACATGACCCGTTTAATAAACGGATAATACGAAATGACTCGTTTAACCCATTTAATTTTGAACGAGTTGTATCAGGTAGGGTCGGGTTAATACTGTAAACCACCCGTTAGACCTATTTACCTGTTTGTTTAAAAATGCTATATAACTTTATAAAATTAACACAAAAAATGTGATATTTAGAGATACAACACCATATTATACAGTACAAATCATAATTTAAAACAACTAAATTTCACAAACATCTATGAGAAGAACATGTTAGTCAGAGAACCTGAGGATATCTATTCACATTTAAGGTATGTTGAGGAGTAAAACTTTATGTATATTTTTTTTATGCTGAGACTCCGTTGAAATCTTATACTTGAGATTTCTAGAAGATGATAGTGAAAGACCGTGGTTTTATTCTATTTTCCTTCTAGTTCTTCTCTTTTATTTATTATGAAAAAATAAAAACTTACATGAAATGTTTTTCCTCTTTAAAAGTATTTTTAAAATAATTATTAATTTATTATTATATTAATTTTATTTAAATGGATAAATAGATGATAAATAGGTTGACAGGTCTCATCTGAATACGACCCGTTTATTAAACGTGTATGACGAATCAATTCGTTTATTATCCAAACTTGTTAAGGTCCCACTAAAATCCGTTTAATTCATGTTGATTTGTGTCGGTTAATCATGTCGTATCAGATTTTGACACTCCTACTTAGATAGAGCTCAAATCGGCTCGAATTTTAATATGTAAAAAAATAAAATTTAATCAGCTTAAATCGAATTTTAATTGACTCAAATTTTAATACGTAAAAAATAAATTTTAATCAGTTTGAATTTTTATCAAAATTTAATTGGGAGTTTATGTAGGGGTAATTTTACTATTTTGGATGATTTTATTTTGTTAGAAATGGTCATTTAAGGATAAGAAGAGTAAGTGATATTTAAATATAAATTAATAAAATATTATTAATATTTTAAATAATAAAAAAAATATTTTTAAAAATATAATAAATTAGAAGCAGCGTGACTAGAATTTTGCCTTAACATTATGAAGTATATATCGCCTACTTTGATTGTGTTTTTCCTTTTTTATCCATCTGACTAAATGGCTCTAAAGGGTGAAAAAAATGATAACATATAAAGTACAAAAACGTGGCAATATTGCAATAAAATAACTGTCACCTCACGAGAGAGATTAACCTGTAATCAACCAGCACCACCAGAGCTACCTAGGCCGGTGGTATTCTTCTAGACGATAGATGCCTCAAAACTCATTTCTTTCTACTGCTCCAATGAAATAACTATCTATCTTTTCACGTGGGCCTCACCAGACGCTGGTCTAAGGTCCAAACCGTCATCGGACCATCCACTCGGCCTCATCGTACGAAGTCCATGGCAATGACTAAATGTGAGTAATCATTTCCCACACTCGCACTTTGTTAGCGCAAGCCAATTCGAAAAACACTGAGATATTTGAGTTTTAATTATTATAATAATTTTATAATCAGTGTTTAGTTATTGTCAATAATATAATATAAGAATTAATGACATTTTAAAATTATTTTAGTGTTGTGTTCCTCAAATTATAACTATATACGATTGAGTCCGTGTGTTACATCAGTCATATTAAAGCAATTTTTTGTTGGATGTATTTGAGTATCAATGTATTTGTGACCACAAACAACTAATATTGTAATCACAATTAAAATTATTTATTATTAATTAAGTTAGATTTTTAAGTTTAAAGGGTGTTACTTTAATTTGACATGTTCCTCACGAACTGGTTAAGAGCGTGAGTTATCATTTTAAACCACGGCCACGCGTCTATTTTCTGGAACTTTCAACCAAAAGCATTTCTGCTGGTACGTCAAGGGCAATTCCACTTTATTTAGATCAAGGCACATACGTGTCCATCCTTTTCGCAGAGCTCGAAACGTGTCCATTTTTCTTTTTCCCTTAGGGGTACATGTCGAGTTAGTAATTGGACTCCAACACAGACCAATAAAATCCCTCAGATACGACTGCTTTATTGTGGGACCCATTTGATCTACAGCAACCAATCAATGCTGTTCACTGTTTGAATGTTGCCCTAGACACGTGTTGCTACTACACCAGGCGACTGAATCTCTACCTGCCCCTATCGATTACAACCTCCGGGGAAAAAGGAGTTCTGCTGAGTGAAGCGAACACAAAAGGATACCAAAGACAGAGGCACAGGTAGCCGGAGAAAGATGAACGATGGAACCGGGCGTTTTACTCTACCCTGCGCCGGCGGTGCGCATGATAAAACGATATTCAACCGTATCATGCCAAGATTCCGGCCAATTGCCCCGAAACCGGCCACCGACACTTCTTTTCCCGGAAATTCTCCTGCGGTCAACCAAAACAAGCCCATCACGAAACGAAGAGCTAAGAGAAAGTACGTTAGGGTTAGCAGGAACAGAAAGTATAAGAAGAATAAAGCGAAAGAAAAGATAGATGGCTTTGACGACGCAGTTACGACGCTGCCGTTGCCGCCTCAGATGGCCGGCTTGAAGACCACATCAGCAGCAGGAGGTCCGCCTCAAAATAGAGACTTTCCGGTGGTAAAATCGGTACCACAGTTACCCTTGTCCATAAACTTGAATAAATCTGAGAGTGGTAATATGGTGGCAGTTGGTGGGTCAGATCTGTCAGATCGGACGGCTGTGATGAAGTCCAGGAGAGTGGTGGAGTCATGGGTGATCGTGGAAGGCCTGACGGAGGGGTGCATGGACGGCGGAGAGCTGGGAAGTACGGACATGGAGAAAATGAAGAATCTGAAGATGGACACATGTCCAGGTCTTATATCGGACGGTTTTGATAAGGTGCAGTGGGTAAATCTACCATACATGAGGATGGTGGACCCACAGATCGACGAAGAACCACCGCCGGAGATGGTGGCTTGGCTGGTGGTGAAGGACAAATTACCGGTACAGAAGCCGGTGTTTGCATGCAGAGTACGAGTTGTGAACACGTGGCGGAAGGAGAAGCAATCACAGATAATGCCGTGTGATGTGTGGCGGATGGACTTTGGAGGGTTTGCATGGAGGCTTGACGTTAGGACTGCCCTTAGTTTGGGCCCTTGAGTTGAGAACTTGAAGTTGAAACAAAGAAGACACAACTTCACTTCCCTAGCAAATCAACATATAAATCAGGTAATCTTCAAAAAAACTTAGAAACCTGAAGGTGAAATAATTATTTCTTATTGTGTTGCTATGGAGCAAATGGAATCCGTGGCAGTTGTAATGTTTATCAATCAATCTGTAATATAAAGGTGTGTGCTGGAAAATTGCGGATTGCAAAAACTTTTTAAAATAAGACCAGGCTGATGGCAATCAGGTAGTGTTCTCACTTCTTATTGTTGGCAGAGTTTTGGCCAAAAGTACATACCAAACGAAGGTTTACAAGTCATTCCTTTCATGGAACTTCTGGTTTCATTGCTTGTCCCCATACTTTGTATTTATGTTGAAAACAATGTGATATAATAATGGACTTCAATTGACAAAATGTGCAATTGGTTTGAGAAAAACAAATTGGTGCTTTCCATCCAAAAGTAGGCATCACCTACTGCTCCAGTCACATTGAAACAAAATACCAAAAAAGTATTATACTGATACCAAAATTCAATAATTCAGAGGAAAGTGCCAGTCTTGAGCTAGCACTTTCAAGAGAATCCTATAGTTCTAAAGCATAGAGAAACTAGTTATCTTATGGAAGAGTCAGGCAGTCAAATTTGAGATAACTGCATGTTGAAAAGCATCCACAAGTCATGTTTAAGGAAAACAAGAAATTTTGGCATCCACAAGTCAGTTGGACTTAATTTATCATTCCTATTCGATGTTATCGTTAATTTAGCAGTGGGTTTCAATCCTATTATTCACAATCAATCCAATGAGAGTATTATATTAGATCAACAAATAAATTTAATAAATTACAATATATTTTTTTTTTAGTTTAACGGTCAGGAATGTCTGAGCAAACCTATGCATACTTCGACAAATCCCTTCTTATATCCAGTTAAAAACAAATTATCCACGCAAGAGTTAGGGTATTAATGATGGATAAATTACTCATGTTTTGGTCTCAAGTGGTTGCCAAGGATTAAATTTAAGATATCTGAGTTTATAACTCATTTTTGTTATCACTTGATGATGTTTATTGCACGACAGAGCAGAGATAGGGATTTTGTGACACCCCAAAATCCAGGTGTCAGTAATTACCCGGTTGATCACTCATCAACCCGCGGAATTTCTGTGGATACCGTATAATTTGTTACCACGCCGTTATGCCCCATTTATCGAGATCCATAATTTAAAGAAATTTGGACAAAGTCTCTTTTATACGGGGAGCTCTACCCAAAACGCAACTTGTACAATCATATAACATTGACCACACCAGGTCCATTCATCCCTATTTATTAGCATAGTATCAGATACTACTATAATAATCATCATTACGTACATTCATTCATAAAAGAATAAATGTTTCAAAAAATTCTCTTATACATGCCTTTTAATATAAACAAGTTTTTGTTACAAAAATTACACAATGCCAAAAGTAATTATAAACAAGGGACTACGATGTCAATAGAAGAGCCACAGACCGGCTCTATCGTCAAAGCGGGCCCATGACCTCACTTTCGGTAGATGCTTGTACAATACCTGAAAAATGTTCCCATAAAGGGTAAGCCGACGCTCAATAGGGTAACTCCTATAGAGAATACCTCTTAACCTAAATGCATATGAAATGTCACATGCAACAATTATTTCATGCATTCATTCAAACATGTCAATTATGAACAAATGTCATAAATCATGTCATGTCATGAGATGAGACTCATGCAAGCAATATCCACACTGAGCCCTATCTTGAGTTCCCACAACACATGCAACGCCATGCGTATGTATTCGGGCATTCTAAGCTCCCGTCTTTGGAGTTATGTACATTTAATGACTAATTAATTCATTTTCTTGTGTTTTTGTGGAGAGATGATTTATGGTATTACACCAATGGGACACCAACCATCAACGGATTCTAAGGACATCTCACCTGCGGCTCCGTTTTGGCCGTTACACTTTTATGAAATTTCATCGCCAGAAAAGTGTATAAACCATGTAAGCGGGTCTTGTACCCGAGGGAGAATCTAACCCTTCTTGCTATTTTTGACACATTTATCTATTTAATTTTTCATGTAACTCAGCCAGACCTTGGTGCGACTTTTTCGAGCCCACAATCAACCACCTATGTAGTGATTGATTTCATCCCATGCACACACTCCCACCCATGTCAATGCCCATGAATGTAATGTAACACATGCATAATGACATTTCAATGTGCAATTATCTTTGGTACCATTTACAATGTCCATTACATAAAAAATACAATATAATGACATTTTCAACATGACAATATGTTTATCAATTCTATAAACATAAGCACAAGTTCACCACAATAATTATACGCTGAATAGTCATTTAACATACATGTTTTAAACCACTAACATTAACTTACATCAAGTTAATCATAATAAGAATTTTCTAATCACAAAGTTTATTATAAATCATATATTTGACCCACTAGTTACATTAGTTAAGACCTAACATATGATATATACTCATAGCCTATTCATTTCACATCATATTTTAGGTTGAAAGTAAATTTAAATAGGGGAAACCCTACCTCTCGTAGCGTGAGTTCATGTATTGGAACTCTGAGGAAGCTCAATTTAACTTCCCAAACTTTAGGCCTAGATTATCATTTTTGATACTTTTTCAGAGAAAAATACGATATTTGGTGTGGTTGTGTAGCTCTCGCTGAGTAGAACAACTTTAATTCTTGACCCAAAATGATTAAACGGTCCAATCTTCATAGATCTGAAGAAGAAGAAGAAAGGAGAAAAAAAAAAAAACTCTTTTCTCTCTCTCACTCACTAGGCAGCCGACTGGAGGAAGAAAAAGTGGAAGACTAAAGTCTTCCACACTATATATATATAATATAAATTTATAGTTTAAAATTTTATATTTTTGCCCTTATATTTATAATTAATTATTATTTTACCCCTTTAATTAAGATTTGTAATAATAATAATAATAATAAATATTTTTTTTTCTGGGTTTTACAGATTTAATGAGAATTGAGTTATTCAGTCTGAGCTCTTAGACTCTTAAGATATGGGGACAGGGAATAAGAGTCAATACGCAAAGAGTTTATAGTGGTTCACCATCTCGGGAGCTCGACTAATCTACTCTTAAGGGAGTCTCTTACTCTTGAGACTTATAAAAAGGGGTTACAAAATTGTTGTTCAGGCTACAATGGTTTGTGAGTATTACTGGAGGTTATGCCCCTTATTTATAGTCGGCCCCGAGCTTCGCTTGATCCTTACTCCTCCTTATAATAGTTGTTACTATCCTGCAACGGTTGTATAAAGTATTGGGGCAGTTGCGATTCTTATGCCTGGATAAATGACAATTGCTAGATATGGTGCTTGGCGAAAGCCAGCTGTCTTCTACGTTACCCTCCTTTAGAGGCAAATGCAAGAAGCTCGAAGTCTAAACTTGAGTTCCATAGGCAACTAAAGCGAATTAGGCTTCTGATCTAGCAGAGAACGACTTGAATTACCGAGCTCAACCTTGGGCATATTCAAGGTACCATCAGTTGCCCCTAATCCCTGGCCAGACAGAGTTATATGAACTGGGACTGAGCTCTAATTTGGGTGAGCCAGGTTGTCTGGGATCAACCTCGAGATTTGCACGATGGGACTTTTTTGACTATTATGGCGAACGTGCACTTATTTTTTCCTTGTTTCTCGCGCACATCCCTTATCCTACGGCTCCACCTGTCTGTCTTTACGCTAGCCTTAAATAAATCATCAGATGAAATCGCCGTCTTCATCATTTTGAACTTTCTTCGCTTTCTTTCTTTAGATTCTTCTCTCTTCCCTTTCCTTCACGATTTCGTTTTCCCCAATTCATCGGTGATCTAGGTTTTTGCCAACAATTTTCTAGAACTCATTCCGAAGATTCTGTGAGGCTAGCTTAGTCTGTTCCTTGGATCCATCTTGGGTCTTTGATCGTTGTTCGACTCCAACTAGGTACGTCATTCACTCTGCACCTTTCATTTTTTTTAAGTTTCCATTCGCTCTGGATCCCTCAAATTCGAAGTGGTTGTTTAACTTCTGGACTTTTCGCTTCTGTTACTTTAAGAATCGAGGTCGTTCTTTGTGATACCTTCCTATTTTTTTTGACACTTATTCTACTGCTAAGATTTTATTTTTTTTAGCTGTTGTCTTGACCCTTTGGCCCTCAAGGACTACCTTACTAGCTTTCATCCCCTCTATATTTCTTTCAATCTTCCTTTCTCATACCCTACCATGTCTGTCTCTTCTGAAGTCACTGTTTCATTCGTCTTCCTTGCCATGGGTGACAGGTCTCCTAAACTAGAAGAGGATAACCTGGGGGATATGGGTGATGTAATAGATAATTTTTCTAGTGTTGATTCCATTGATGTTGGGGAGGAGACAGAGGTCCCTATACCGTTGTCAAGTCCAATTCTGAGATCTAAGAAGTCTCAAAAAGGGAAGTCTAAGATGAGTGACGTTGGAATTTCTGGCAGTGCTGGGGACATCGAGGTCACTCCCAGAGCTTTAAACCTCGTAGGTTTTAGCGAGGTTACCCATCCTTTTTTGATGTTCTTTCTGCTCGATTTGGTTTCCCAAGGGGTATGCAGTATTAGTCTCCAAACATGGGTATTTGGTTTGATACCATAGTCCTAGAGAATGTTTGTTTCTTTGTGGCTTCTTTCGAGATTGGCCTTTGATTTTCTATGCATCCTTTCCTCAAGAATGTTCTTCAACATCTGAACATTTGTCCTGCTCAGCTTTCTCCCAATTTATGGGGTGTTCTAGTGGGTCTTCTGATTTTTTTCAAGAAGAACAAGTTTGGTGTCACCCCTTCTGATGGCATTCTATATATATTGCCAAACGGGTGAAGACCCGAATTCTAATCTCTGACCTTCTGAGCTCCCACTGGGGATGGAAGAAGCTCTTATTCTTTGTGTCTGGGAAAGAATGAGAGAATAATCCTAGGGA